ATATTTTTGTTTATTTCTAATTTAGTTTTTGTAGGAGAGGGAGTCTTATTATGTTGCCCAGGCTGGTGTTGAACTCCTGGCCTCAAGCAATCCTCCTGCCTCAGCCTCCCAAAGTGCTAGGATTACAGGTGTGAGCCATCACATGTGGCCTTGTTTTAGTTTTTGATGAGCAAACGAGGCAGGTTCAGAAATGAAATACATCTGATGTAACTGAAGCCCCTTTGGAACCCCCTCCAGCTCAGTTCCCTTCCCTAATTCTCCAGAGCTAACTATCACTCCAAATGTCATGTTTATTATGACCACTCACATTTTTATACTATTTCTACATATATGTACAAACCAAAAATATCATGTTTTACATGTTTTCAAGCATTATTTAAGTGCTATTTTCTTTTTTCTTTTTTTCGAGATGGAATCTCGAAATGCTCTGTTACCCAGGCTGGAGTGCAATGGTGCAATCTCAGCTCACTGCAACCTCTGCCTCCCAGGTTCAAGCAGTTCTTCTGCCTCAGCCTCCCGAGTACCTGGGACTATAGGCACATGGCACCGCATCTGGCTCATTATTGTATTTTTAGTAGGGACAGGGTTTCACCATATTGTCCAGGAGGGTCTCAAACTCCTGACCTTGTGACCCACCCACCTCAGCCTCCCAAAGTGCTGTAATTACGGGCATGAGCCACCTCGCCTGGCCCTTAAGTGGTATTTTCTCTACATGTCATCTTGTAATTTTTCTTTTTATATCAAAATTATGCTATGTTTCATTCATTTTGAAACAGTACATCTAGTGTATTTAATGGCTGTATCTTGTTTCAAGTTAGTTATCTTTTTCTGTTTGAAGATCATGTCAGTTTCTAATTGTTTGAAATTACAAATTATAACTGAACATTCTCTTGCATCTTTTTCTCCTCTTCATATATTTATATTTACATATGCATTTATGATATGTATATGTGTATGCATCTGTGTCCCCATGTATGCATCATCATACACTGTATATACACACATCCACACATACTATGCATATACCTAAAAGTGAAATTTACACTTCCTAGAAGTGATACAGCTGATTCCTACTGCCCAATTGCTGTACAAAATCACTACATTTTATTGACTTTCCTACCAACAGTGGAAAGGGGTTTCATTTTCTCTACATCTGTATCAATCAGGAATGCACTTCATTGCATGTGTAGGACATCTGACTAACAGTGACTCCTTTAATAAGAGTTTGCCTTTTCTCACGTAACATTTTGGAGACAGGCAGCTGCTACCATTGGAGCAGATCGATAAGGTCAGAAATGGTGTCTTTGTGAGGAGCTTGGCTTTATCTTCACGCTCGTCTCCCAAGGTTATATGAAGGCTGCAGCGGCATGAGGCATCACTTCTCTGCTCAAAGGAGGACAAAGAGAGAGATGGTAGAAGAGACAAAGCTTCCCAGCACTCTTCAGCCCACTCCTACACCCACAGCTGCAACTCCTGGCCTCCTCCAGGCAGAAGGGAGGCCAGACTCTAGTAGGGGGCAGCCAAGGACACAGGGGTTGGAGATGTTTCGCCGGCTGACCTGGAGTATCTGCTCCACCATTCTTGCCAAGGCTTGGCAGGTTTCACATTTTGTCACCAATATCAATTTTACATTTCCCTGATGGCAAGTGAAGCTGATATCTTTTATACCTTCCTAGTTTCTGCCTTTGTCACTGGCCCATTCACGTAGTTGGAATATTTTTCTGCTGAATTGTTTTGTCATTTTTCTTAATGTGTAGATCTTTACACATTTTGAATACAAATCCTTTGTAGATTATGTGCATCACACATATATTATTTAATCTATGGCTTAGATTTTTAGTGTATAGTGGTTTTTTGATACACAGAAGTT